GAGTGGACTTGAGGAACCATTTTTGCTGAAAGCATTTCAAAGGTATGTAGCAGATTTTGCTCGGTCAAGGAATGCTGAATATTTTGTTATAAGTAAATAGTTAATATTACCAATCATCATCATCATCAGCATCATCATCATTCTTAGACCCTCCCTAAATTGTTTTAAGCATCCTATCTAGTTGAGCTACGTCACGTGAAACTCTAGTTTTGAATGATGGAGTTACTCTCCGCCTTAAATCATCTTCAATGCTGGCCTCTTATTTCTCTTGTCTCTTCTATGATGTTCGGGTTGGACTTTAACAGTCTTATAAATCCCTCCTAAATCACCATTCACAAGGTCAAGCAATTGATTAGGACAGTATAGTCGGGTACACCCCGGTTTGGGAATTTTCTAGCAAGCAATTCTACAAAAACTACAATTGAAAATAATATACTTACGCTTCACATAAAACTGTTAAAACTACTTCTAAAACAATAACCCTTAATTAATACGTGTTTTTGTTTTTCTGTTTAGATGAGGGAAACCTCAACAGAAAACCTACACTCTCGAGATCTTTTTTCCAGCATCCTATCACATCATCATTATCTTCATCCTTCGACCTCCCTACGGTTGGTCGGAACTCCATTGACAATCCTTTTTCATACTGTTCGATCCTGTATTGCTGTTCCCAAATCCGCGATGTCCAACCCTGAGTACCGAGCTATGGTGGCTGAGAAAGACAATTTTCGTGCGAAGAAACTTACAGAAGGATGCCACATAAATGCGGAAGAGACGACCTCCCTATTCGCTCGGTGGCAATGGCTGATAAACTGTAATCGTTTTTGATTGAATTTAAGGGAGATTGGTCTCAGTTCCCCGTAAATTGTGTTAAGCGCTGCATGGGATCTCTAACTGGTGTTCTGGGTTTTTCTAAGTAGATTTATATATGATTCATCCAGTCGTCTTTCAAGAAGAACAGATAATGTCTAAGTTCCTGATCCATACAGTAGGATTGTTTCAATCAATGTTCGATATGTTAGAAATAATTGATATTACCATTAGAATCGTACATTATTATGAGAAAACTGTTCAGCTTCAAATTGTTTGCCAGATAAATTCACCAGACGGACACAAATAGTGTCTGGTGGCGATTTAAGTTTAATAAAAGTTTTGATCAGTCAGTGATGTTCTAGAAATACGGAAGATGTATAATTTGATGTTCAGTGAGATATTATTGATTTGTGATTACTCCACCTCTGTTAATGGGGTACTATAATTGGAATTAAGGGTAGTCAAAAATCGGCCATGTGTATTACATGACAATGCGGCAAATGTAACCAATATTTTTTTTGATTTGAGGTGACTAATATGACGTGGGGTGGCCATCGCGATCACCAGATCTAACATCACCAGATCTAACATCACCAGATCTTTTTTTTTGTGATGTGTACTGAAAGAACTTGTTCACAGGCTCAAACCAAAAAACAATACATGAATTAAAATAAGCAATTTCTGATAGATTTTCTGAAATTAATGTACAAATGAGTCAAATTATTTGGAGAAGTGTCGCTGAGAAGGAGAGCATTTTGAACAAGTTAAATACTTTGTTAATCATAACAAACCATGTTGTTTTGATGTGAGAATACTTTTTCTTAAACAACTATAATTTATTTATTCTTAAACAACTTGTTGTGGATTCCGTGTTGAAATCCGGTACCAATAAATAACAAACGCCAGGAATGAATATAGGAAAATAATGTATTAACGTAATAATACAAACTGGTAAAGCAGGTTAGTAGTTCCAGGAATACGGGTTAGTAGCAATATATATATACAGTCTTTGGTATTGAAGTATCGCTGTATGACTTTTTACTGAGTCTACGTGCTCCCTCACTGTCACTCCTACAACGCTGTTACCTCACCCTCACTCTTCCGGTTACCTACAACCTTTTACTCTGTCACTCTGGACTCGACTCGACTCCTCGGTCTTGCAATCTCGGGTCTTCACGTAGCCGGAGTATATGTATATACTGGGTGAGTCCATTTGTGTAAAAAGGGGAGAACCCCTAAACACAACTGTAATTTGTTTTTTTCTCAAAAACTTTAAGTAAAAAAGGGCGTTACTCTTTTCATAATGATTTTTTATTTTTTTCTAAAATAAATCCATTATTATATTTGTATACATTTGTCCGAGTACTTTTGGGTTCATTGTGTCCATTAACCTTGGATGACAATGAATCCTAGCAAAGGAAAACCCTGAATTCCATATTATGAAGAAGACAACGAAAAAAAACAATCTAATTTCTTTCCTAAAAATTCATGTGAGTTCACAGATAATAAAGGAATGTGTGGAGGACCATGATCTCCTATGTTCTGTAGCATTGGATGGCAACTGGTCTGGGAGAAGGACAACTCTGAATTCAAAACCTGCCGAGGGTCGTTTGAAGACCTTGTGGCACGTAGTGCACCAGGTCTTTGTATTTGGCCCTTCAAAAAATGTGGATGGTCCTGCACGAAAACTTCACCACTATAATCAAATCTCATGTGCCGGTGTCGGGCTGGTGGTTTCCTGAGAACTGATCTACTTGACCCTCATACGCCGAATTCAATGGGAGAGTCGAGTATATATATATATATATATATATATATATATATATATATGTGTGTGTGTGTGTGTGTGTGTGTCATAATTTTTTACATACGGACAAAAACTTGGTTCTCACTAGTCGAGATGAAATTCAAATTTATAACAGGTCATAAGCTCACTACAAAAGTTGCAATTTTGTTTCGACACTTCTGGTGTCTTATCAGTGATCTCCTGCTAAGACACCAGTAGTCGAAACGAAATTGCTATTTTGTAGTGATATTATAACATGCATATGTTATACATTTGAATAAATATTATTAGCTTTACTTCGTATTGACCACTCTTTTAAGAATAGTGTTTTTGTTTATTGGAATTTTATTCCATGTGTACCAACCCTGTACTTTTATATATTTATTCTACATCCAAAACCATCACTTGATAAGACACCCATTCACATAAGGCAGGAAGACTGTTTGCTGAGTGTTGTTGCCCTCCTCATAAATAGTTATACTCGTTTGGAAAAACATTAGGTATTTTGGCTTGTAATTGAACAAACCAATTCCCAAGGGAAAATACGCGAAAACAATCGTCCAGAATCCAACCTCAGAGTCCAAAGGAAAAAAAACCTTCAGAACGAGTAAAGCAAAAGTAACTATGTAAAGTGCTCAATACACTAAGTAGAGCAAACCTAAATATGAACCTAAAGAGCTAGGTAAACTTACCTAGGTTTCACCTACACGGATCGTCAGGGTAAATTATATATATATATATATATATATATATATATATATATATATATATATATATATGATTGCAAAATATACTTAAGAGATAACCCTAGAATATTATATAGGACGCAATGCTAAGAAATACTTAAAGTTTTGAAATCCATCTTAATACGTATGAAGCCAACATTAAATAGGGTATATTTCTGCAGAGAGGATCGTATATTTAAGTATGTATTAAAAAACGATGCACCGTTATTTGATTTGAAATTTCTTCCAGCAAACGAGAAAACACCTGAACTGGCCAAAACACATTTTAATAAATGTAATAAATACGCAATTATTGATAAGGGACTGTAATGACAATTTTGAAAAGGTTCAACCTGATAAAAAACAACTTAGTCGGAAGCTGGAAAAAATCAGTCATTGTGAAGAGATTCCAATTACAAGCTGGTGTATAATACAAAAAAATCAACGTGATTAAATAATATATATTTCCCACAGGAGATTGTATATTGAAACATGTATAAAATATATAATGTGTGTACGATGTATTAAATAATTAATAATTATCTAAAACCAAAGGAACACGTATAAATATTTCATACATGCTTTTCTATTTAAACTTTATATTTTATGTCCATTTGATCTGATTACAATTTCAATTCCAACGATGTAAAAAACTATTGGAATTTATTCAAAAAATATTGCTTCCTAAAACAATAGAATTTGAACACTGCATTCGTCAATTCTATCGGCATATACAGCAGATTATACGTATATTGTAAAATATAATAAAAGTATTAAATATATAGACCTTATCGTTTAGATGTCACAAAACCTCATCTTAATATATATATATATATATATATATATATATATATATATATATATATTTATCCACATACAAGATACTGTCGCTGTATCACAGGTCATCAGTGTGGCAAGACATCTGATTGCTTCAAGCCGGGATCGAAACTCAACCGATTAGAGGAATCTTTAAAGGTATTAACGTAGTTACTGCTTTTAAACTACAAATTTCCCATGATTTCTCTCGAACGTCCATATCTGCTCGAAGCGTATATTAACGAGAACAAATGACATCATAGATTATGAAGTCAGACAATTATTTTAATATATTTTATTCTTAAGATATGCTTAGAGCAGATATGACCGTTCTAGGGAGATCATGGGAAATTTGTATCTATAAATCATATACCAAGTGCAATAATTTATAAATCATATACCAATATATATATATATATATATATATATATATATATATATATATTAAATAAAAACAGACCACGTTAAGGTTCCATATATATATAAAACCTTGTGTAAATTAATTGAAACAAAACAAATAGTTCTGTTATTATTTACATTTTTCCTATTTTTTCCATTGAAACTTGACCCAGAGCACATGTTAGTACTTCGTATATTCATTCTACAAAGTCATTCCTTCCATATTGGCCACAGATTCTTGATTGGATTTATTAGGTTGGTGCAAAAATAATGTCGTTTTCTCACATATGTTACTTTTATATATGATTTCTGAATGAATTCATTGATATATATAGCCATGTTATATATCATTTTGAGGCGCGTTTTTCGCTCTATCGAATCGTGTTATTCGTTACTGTTCTCAATCTCTTCATTCATTTTTTTGCAGGCTTTTCGACAGAATGGACAAAATTCAAATTCGCATGATTTCCTTGTTCCAGTTCAAACTAGGCCGAAAAGCTGCCGAGACAGCTCGTGATATCAGTGATACGTTTGGCCCAGGAACCACTAACGAACGTGTGGTACAACGGTGGTTCAAGAAATTTCGCAATGGTGACGAGAGCCTCGAAGATGAAGACTGTCGCGGCTGGCCGACTGCGGTTGATAACGAACATTTGAAAGCCTTAATTGAAGCCGATCCTCGCAAAACCACACGAGAAGTTGCTGTTGAACTCGAGGTCGACCACTCAACAGTCGTTCGCCATTTATAGCAAATAGGGAAGTCAAAAAGTTGGATAAATGGGTGCCGCATGAATTGAACGATAATCAAGAAGTCGTCGTTTTGAGATGTCTTCTACGCTCCTGATTTCTCGAGCGGATTGTGACGTGTGATGAGAAGTGGATCCTCTACAACAACCGGCGACGTTTCGGCACAGTGGTTGGATGCCGAGAAGCTCAACAACACTTCGAAGCCGAAATTGCACCAAGAAAAGGTTATGGTGACTGTTTGCGGTATGCGGCCGGTCTCATCCATCACAGCTTCTTGAATCTGGGCGAAACGATTACGGCGGAGAAGTACTGCCGACAAATTGACGAAATGCACCAGAAGCTCCAACGTATGTGCCCGAGATTGGTCAATATGAAGGGACCAATTCTCCTCCATGACAACGCTCGCCCGCATGTTGCTCAACTGACCCTGCAGAAGCTGAACGAATTGGGTTACGAGACTCTGCCTCATCCGCCATATTCACCGGACCTCTCGCCCACCGATTATCACTTTTTCAAGCATCTCGACAACTTCCTGCGCGAAAAATGCTTCAAATGCCGAGATGATGACGAATCGGCCTTCAATGACTTCATCGCTTCCAGAACTCCGGATTTCTATTCTAATGGGATAAATAAACTTGTTTCTCGTTGGCAAAAATGTGTCGATTCTAATGGTTCTTATTTCGATTAATAAAGTTTATTATGAAAGGAGTTATGATCTTTTGAAGTTGAACGTCAAAAAACGACATTATTTTTGCACCAACCTAATAAATCAGCAGATTTCCCAGGCCAGTCTGGTACTTTGGTCAGTGGGCGGGATGCAAATCTGATGCAATCACGGATGACAAAATATATTTCAAGGGAAAACAAATTTCATCATACACCCCGAAAATAGGTTCATATTACTGGACACCACTGCAAATGAACTAATCTAAAAAAAAATAGAAATCGTCACTCCATTGGGTTTAAAACTGAACCTATGCTGGAAGAAAGCAAACTAAAGCAGTTGTTTAAATTAATTTATATATAAATATATATATATATATATATATATATATATATATATATATATATATATATATGATACAGGTTCGATTCCTCTCGAGAACGCATAATTTTTTACGAAATTTCTCGAAAATTCAAGCCGGTAAATGTAATTAATACCGTTCAATTAATAAGAGAACATTTACTTCAATAAATGTATAAAAATAACATAGATACAGAAGACATATATACAAAACCTCTAACCTTATAGTTAAAAACAATAATTCATTTCTTAGAACAATATTAAATAGGGCAAATATTATTTGCGTATTTAAATACCGATTGAGAAATTGTATTCCTGATCAATCAAAATTCGTAAATAATTATATAGGCCACACTACAACATGTTTGACACGCAGAATCACTATACAACTTTCTGACAATAGCCCAATTAGATCTCATTTAAATATTCATGGAGACCTACCGGACACTATTCGTAACATACTTGTTGACAACTCTATTATAATAGTATCATCTACATGCAAAAAAAGTCTAAAAATAATGGAAGCCTTATTAATAAAAACAAAAAACACTTAATAATATTAAATTTGAACATGGACACATTATCTTGAACGTGTTTTGAAAAATGAAAACATTTTATAAAACATACATACAACAAACTATTTCTTATTTAACAGTTAAAATAATTCATCCTTGAAAATGGCTAAATGAATAGCCGAAAGCGCTCGGATAAAAAGAACATTCGGACAGTTTTTATATAATTTATCATCCGAAAAGGAAAAAATATTAGATCGCATGAGAAATTGTATAAAAAACTAAACAAATGCACTTGTCTGTCGTATTCAATGAAATGTACACACACACACACACACACACATATATATATATATATATATATATATATATATATATATATATTATTATTATTTATACGTTATTTATATATAGACACATTTAAGTATATATAAATAACGTATAACCATAAAATATAAGATAATTGTCAGACTTAATCCATTTCGTTGTATATATATATATATATATATATATATATATATATATATATATATATATATATATATATACAGTCTATTGTATGTACCTTTTAATTTTACTTGATATTTAGAGATATTGTACGCATAATTCCAGCCTATTTTTGTTTTTTGACCTGGCTAAAACTTGGTTTTTACGGGCTACGGTAGTGAAAAGTGCTTTCCGTTTTTCTCTTCTTTCTATTTTGATGTTAAATTTCCTTTTAATTCGTCTTTTTTAACCAGAGAAATGAAGTTGAACTTTTGACTTTGTGTCACCAGTTTTAATGGCTAACCAAATGGACGCTAAGCCAGATAAAAACGTGTTCTCACGTTGTTCGGGAACTCACAGTGTGTGAAATTGATTTAAACGAAACATTCGTCTAGGTGATGACGATTCGGCTCTCCACCTGTCTACAACCTCATCCCAAAATCTTCAATTCCTGCAGGTATCACTGCCAGAGAGTACCGATCCTTATCCATGATTGGAAGAAGTCAAGAAGTCGACGCTCACATACGCCTATCCCTGCAAGGCAAAAAGTTCTGGCTATTGGTGCCGAGATAAGGAGAAGGGAAGAGTTCATTTGAAGTCGGCACATATGATGGGCTTTGGCAGTTAAGAAATAGATTTGCAGAAACGGCCCGAGGCGATGTAATAAAGAGTTATGAATCAATTGCTTCGGTAACTCGTTCGTTTGTTACCTCCATAGGAGACTAATACTTTGCTTTTCCCAGGCAAGTGTTTGTCTACCGTATATTTACTCATGGGAAAAGATATATTTCGTTGTTAGTTTATTTGCTGCTTGGGTTATTTCGCGAATAAATTTGCCTATGCAAGCGTTCATATTTAACTTTACGGCCTAAGTAAAAGGTTTTAACATCAGACGTGTTGTAATTCTTGCAAAAGCAGATATTTACTAATCTTAGAAGAAATTGTTTTCTGAAGTTTTTAGATTAAGAATTTAATTATGGAAACGGTGTTTTCGACACAATATTTCAGCAGATTTTTATTTAGGTTTCTGACATTTCCAGACATTTTGGATTTTATTATTTTTAATGTTAGATTTTAATCAATTATTCCTCTTCTTCTTTGGAAATTATTTCGTCCGCTTGTTCTCGGGGAAAAACTAAAAATGAATAAATATAACCACGGTACCTTTCTTACTGTCTTTAATCATGAAACAACAAAGCTTATACATGATTACAGGAGGATTTTATTGAAAATAAATAAACACATGTCCAAATTGTTTAATTAAACATGTTTAAATGAATATATATTTATATTCTATATTCAACACTATTACTTCTTAAGACAGCAGAAGTTTTGAAAGAAAATGGCTATTTTGTAATGATTTTATAATATATTTATGTTATAATTTTCGAATAAATAATTATATATATATATATATATATATATATATATATATATATATATATATATATATATATATATATGGTATTTAGTTCATGCCACATTGACTGATAAACTCCTACAACAAAAAATTCTCAAATTACTATATTAGTAAAAACGCACTCTCTTAAATTTTCAAAAAATTCAACCTTAGCGTTTGACGACACACACACACACACACACACACACACACACACACACACACACACACACACACACACACATATATATATATATATATATATATATATATATATATGAGGAAGTATAGTTTAATGGTGTGCTATATTTATGGGATAAAGTGCTCAATATCAGAGATAGAGCATATGTAAATATAAATATAAAAGTGAACATTGCAGTCAACACAAATCTATTTCTGGTAATAATTTTTACAAAGTATTTCTAGAATTCAAACCTTGTTTTACACTTTTGTAATGCTTTTTACATCAGTTTCGGAGTTAACTATTTGCCCACCAGCAATTAAGAGGTGGTTCTACGCTCTTTAAAGCCTCCTGATCAGAGGCCTTACTGTTGGACGTAGTTTATTGTCTTACCCTGGACACAGACCTAGCTTATCTTCATACCCGGGTAGCGAGTAGATGCGATTGCTAACTATAAATTACATAACTCAAAATTGATCGCTATATTTAAGTATTGCATTAATATTTAAGCTTTCTTTTCAAAAATCAATGACAATTCTTCTCCCGCCACGTAATTTGAAGACAATTTGTTGTCCGCATGTGCTTACTTTACGTACAAACAATTATTTTATTTCATATGTGACTTTCCTTGGATTTTGCAATTAATTTCGATTATTTCCAAAATTATTTCCAAGTTATAGAAATTGTTATCGTAAAAAAAAAAATTGGCGCAAAAAATCATGTAAAATAATCGCCAAAAAACAACGTTGGGAATGCAAAATTCCAGGATAGCGTATCTGGCCCGGAATGGTTTTACTTTGCTCACGGAGTCAGCCTGATTCCAAAATGGTATGATACGGCCTCGAGAAGTAAAGTTGAAAAAGTGTGATGCAGTATAACACCCCGATATTCGCATTTCTTATATAGAAGAAGGTCACCTAATTTACTCGGAGGAAAAATAAAACAAATTTGCTGGAAGTTGTAAATATTTTTACCAACCTCCCAGTTGAAGAAATAAGAAACAGAATTTGTGTCTGAATACATATATATATATATTATAAATTAACCGATTTAAAATATGTTTTTTCGCTACACAGTTATAACCATGTTTCAAAAATGAAAGCTAAAACTTTAAATTTAATTATATACTTAAATTAAGAGCATTATTTCCGTTTCATCTTCAAGCAAATACTG